AGCCGAAATGCATTGAAATTGTTTCAAATACATATATAGTGCCGTTTTACATAGTTTATCGAACTCTAGGTATTGAAAATAATGTAACTGTAAACAGGAACTGAAACATACTTCAGTAAACACTAGGAGAAATCTGGGAACAATTAATATATATAAATTATCCGTGAAAGTGAAATGTACTGCCTACACAGTGTTTCACTTTTTATTACACGCTGAAGGGTCGCAGAGTACACCATCACCATATGTTTGAAAACTGTCATGACTCACACAGAATAGGCTGATGAATAATAGTATCTTCATCAGTGTATAACACTGACCAGAAATCTACCCAGTAAATGGTTCTGTTGTGGGCAGCAATTTAACATGCCCCATATCCTTATAACTAACTACATAACCATAAAAATGTTACTGCCAGGTTTATCAAGCACCAATGCAGAAAGCACTCTAAATATCTTTAAAGGAAGGTTCACACATTTATCATTTCCCATCCCACTCATTTTGCAGCCAAAGGAGGCTGGAATGCTGTGTTACTGGCATTCTCATTAACTTCACTTAGCTTCTTTCTCTTTGAATTTTTGGTTGTGAACTCTGTTGGGTAGCATCCAAAACCAAAGTTCATATTGTAAATAAGTGAGACTGCTTTTCTAATTTACATGTAAACATATAATAGAATTAAAGTTGAAATGATAGTGTTAATTATGTATGAAATTAAACATCAAGTGCTAAGTGGCTCTTAGATAATACCAATATAGACCCAAGCCAGTAAGTAATAAGCTGCTTTGCTGCTTTTAGAGAAAGTGTGAACCTCGTGATTCAAAAGCCTGAGAAAAATCTTCCTAAAATGGAAACCTGCCTTGTCCAGTGGCAACTCTTCAGCTACATTCTCCCAGCATCAGCTCAGTCCTATGGCAATCAGATTTATGGCTGTGACACTGTGGTTACTGCTAAGCACGCCCAGCAAGTCTCCAGGTGTCACTGAATTTGCTCTTTTTCCAACAACAAAAGCTGCAACAGGAAAGAAGCAGCAGAGGAGCATGGCAAATGAACTGATTTTAAGCATCTCTTGTCAATTAAAATTGCTATGCAATGTTCTATGGCAGAGCTGATTTTTTCCTTTGAAGTAAGCTTGAATTCTCTGATGCAAATTAGCACCTGTGGGTATTTACTCATATGTCATCTCAGTATTTTGTTCTGTTTTTCATGGTAGAATTTTTCATGACGCCTGAGGAAACTGGGAGTTTTCCAGACATGACATTACAAGTGAAATATTATTTTGGTAAACGTGAGAAGAAGATTGGTTAAGTCCAGAAGACATTTTCTTACATATTCATTGGAATTTAGTTTCCATTTTGTCTTTCAATCTCATACAATTTTTGACAAATAAAGAGTTTTCTACCTAAGTATTTACAGTTTCTACAGCAACTAAAGGTCAGAACTGTCTTGACTTGGTTTGTCACAGAGTGTTTATGCTGTGTCATACCATCTATTTTCTATATGACACTCCAGAATCAAAAATCACTTGGAAAGCAATCAAGGAAGTCAGTTAATCTCTTTTGAAATTTGCAATTCATGGCTTTTGTCTTTTAATATAGCCTTGACTACAAAATCTGTTTTGCAAAACAACCCCTACCCTCCCAAAGACTCTAGACTTCTAATTATTCAAATCATTATAGAAATTAAAATTTGTAACTTTTCTGGAACCCTTTAAAAACAGCCAACTTATACTACACACTGATCATCATATGAAAAAATTTCCACAGCGGGGATTTATTACAAAGATGGGGCTAAAATTTATCAACAGGAAGTCCTTTAATAATGAAATATAAAAAGTGACCTGAATTTCTTAGGATTCTGAAACTTGGGTTTTGCCTGTTGATGTGTTTTGGCTCAGCTGTTGAAAGTTATCACAGCCAATTCTGCAGCTGAATCATATCAGCAGGTTCTTTGGAGGCAGCGGTGTGAACAGAGTACTGCTGAATGCCAGCAATTCCTGACTGGCACGGGGGCTGCTGGAAACTCATGCCAGTCATGGGCCACCAAAGTAGCTTCAGGGCTACTCCAGCTTAGGCTGCGTGCTAATTGCCTCCTGACAGTCTCAGGAGATGCATGCAGTCATTTTTGCTGCATCTCTTGATATCTCTGCCCAGATCACAACATACCTGGGACCACCCCTAAGGATGAGAACCTGCATTCCCCAGAAAGCAAAATCACTGTACCTTTCCCTGCAAAATATAAGAAACTCCATTAAATGGGTATCTGGTTTGAACGAGTAAAATGCAAGCAGCTGTATGAAACAGGAACCACATCTTCAGAGCATTTACAGGTCTTCTAAAACCGATTCTGACTGTGGGTAGTACTATAAAATAGTATTTCTCCTAAGATCACACTTAAAAAGGGATCGTGTAATTTTTTTGTCTTTACTATTTTAGCCAGAAGTACTGATTTTGCACTTCCACAGCACCTGCTGTTTGAATTTATCAGTTAGCTAAATCTTACAATACTCGGATGAATCTTACTCCATTAATGAATTCAAAGTCAAGTCACAAAGAAGTGATTTATATAATAATATTAATTAGTATGTCAAGATGATTACATTCAATGTACTTATAAACTCTTTTTAAGAAATAAAGTTCTGTTTCCAGTACTATTCATTTTTTTAAAATGAACGTGAATATTCAATTATGGAGTTATTATTCTGTGAACCAGTTTACAACATTCAGTAGATATAATTTTTAATATGAAAATTATTCATGCATGTTACTGTTCCAGACATATATTATCCTTTCCTGAAGACATTTCAATCTCCCAGCCTTTATGCAAAAAACTGGCTCATGGGCTCTGCACAGGATGTAAATTAAGTTCTTGTTTCACCAAATCTGCTTGCCCTGTAGGATACCAATCTTGCTTAGTGATAGTGTAAGCTAAAAATTGCAAGCAGAACAGTCCTCTTAAAACTAAGCCAGAAAGGGTCAGCTTCTAAATAAGAAATCTGAGTATTGAACTAGATTTTAATTTTATCCCTAAGAATGTTCATTTAAACATAGAAGCTATCTTCTCAGTTGTTTCTACCATTACTTTTATACTCCCAATGAAATTGAGAAATGCATTTTATTAAGATGTACAGTTCTTTATTAATCATATATAAGGGTGCTACAATCACTTCAACCCAGCCTTTAGTTGGTCTGCCTCTCAATCCTTTGATACTTCCTCTTACTCCTCTCACATTCTACTGAAATTAATGCTCCAGTAGAGAAATTTAGTGAATAGCAAACCCCCCCAAAGATTATCAGAACATAACCACCCCGAGTTAATACAAACTATCAAAAAAATATTTATTACCAAAATACTGTTGCTTTATTATGCACTTACTGAGTGCATGAGACAGATTAAAAAGGCACATGCTGACACTACTAAATATGAAATGCTGCTCTTCCTTCTGACAGGATTAGCTAAATACCTAAATGAGAACACTCCCCTGTATTTTTCCTATACTCAGAAGATGTGCACAAAGCCACCCTTTGATCTATTTCACTAGCTTCAGCTACTGTAGCAGGCCTTTGTATATATAAAAAAAAATTATTTTTAGTAGTCTGTGGCAGCTCCTTATTCTTCCTTTGATGTATAAAGGATTTATGATCAATAATATCTGAAAGCAGATGGCATTATTACAACTGCTCTGAGTAAAGAAAAAAATCAAAACTAATGCAACACTGGCAAAAATGATATGGCTATTCAGAAAATGTAATTATCTCAGTAAATGTATGTGGCTTTGGTAACAAGACTCAAAATTTCAGATGGATTATTTTTAATAACATCTTTTCATAGTGGCTTTATTAGATGTTCTAAATCTAACCTCAACACTTACCTAATAAATAAATACCTCACTCCATCAATAGGTTTTAGATGAAGGGACCCAGTACTCCACATAGAATGGTAATGAAAGCAGTGACATAAAGGCATGAACTTTACCTACAAGCAGCTCAGAGCAGAATCCCAGCATGATCCACTGTATGCCATTATTTTTGGGTGACCAACACTAAAATTACATGTTCAGAAAAGTGTTAACTGGGAACTGACTGAAGCACAATCCAAACCCTCCCCCATGCCAACAGCAGAATACTTATATCTGCATGATGAGGCATATTAATTCAACTGACATCTAACACTTTCTCCCTTGGATTAGTTCTAGTAGTGAATCAATTTCCTGATCTGGTTCAGCAGGCAGGCACAAAAATGTCTGTGTTAATAAAACTGAGCAGCTCAGAAGATGAAAATGTGTCTTTTGATTGACCTCTACCCACTTAAGCATATATAAAACTACCTTACAGATCTTATGCACAGGCTGTTGGAATACACCGCTATCAACCACCAGTACACTGGGGTTCTGGCCTCTGCCTTTCAGAGATATATTCTTACATTATCCAATCGTTCTTTACACTGGAACTATTTAATAAACTGTGCATTCGCATTGTGGTCAAAGCTTATATACTGTAAGATAGGATTTACGGTAAAGCCCTGAAGAATTACATTACATACCCACAGTATTCTATTTCAAAAGTTTATTTCCCCAAAGAAACATGGCATTTTGTAACTTTTTAATAAATATATACCTTTTACAGTACTGATGCAGTAAATAGCATTCACAAACGGTATCTTCCTAGTGTTATCATCTCAGCAAACACTATTAATGACTGTTTTCATTTACTAATAACAACAGTTAAAGCCACAATTCAGTGACCATTTTAGCCCCAATGATATCATCATCATTGTATTAAAGTGTGATCTGCTACCATATCATTTTTATTTCATTTTGCAAAGGAATTATTACATTGATACTAACAAAGCTCTTCTTGCTCCAGCTGAGAAAGCCCGTGAATAAATCCCATCATATTTCGACATGAAAAAGAGGTCAGTGACTGCTGAGTTTTTTTCAACAGCAGAACATTCCCTACAGCATAGCTTTAAGAAAACACACTTCAACTGACAACATACATTCTTTCTAACTGAATCATCTTAGTAGGTACTCTATCCAAAAAAAACATTTAACTGTATAAATGGACAAGGAGAACATTCCAAGGAATGGAACTTCTTTTAAATTAAAGATACATGGCATAACATTTTAAGACTTCACTTAAACTAACTTCCTTCCAATTGATATTACATACCTGGAGGCTAGAAAAATCACCCTCAGTCAAGTTGTTGTGAGTGCTTCAGAGAAACTTGTGAGAATAGCACATTTTTTGAAAGAAACAATCCAGTAGAAAGCAGTGCATATTAGTACTAATGCTGTTCTCCTCCATATGCCAACTATCAGTTCCCCTTTCTACCAAGATTAAGCGACTGGCAATGCACCTGTTTTATTGCTCAGCAGCTACAATCTTTAACCACAGTCTAGAGTAACTCTGGTCCATGGGGAGCACGTTTCTTTTAATTAAAACAAAATTATCAAAGAGCATCGTATAGCATTAGCAATTTGTATGAAATAATACCATAGATCTTTATTAAAAATAGGAAATAATCACACTGAAAGGAGGATCACTCTAAATTGATTGTATATATACTCACAAATAATTTGTTCCTTCAGTCATGTTGCATTACTTATGGATATCTACTGCCCCAGAGAGATAACTGCTGCAATACGAAGCATTTCTGTCTTTATATACTGATACAGTTGGTGGAGACATCATTCTCTGACCCAAGTTCAGGTACAGCATAAGCAATCGCCTATTATTTAGGAGCTATGACTCTGTGGTAAAAATGTGACAGCTGTGATCCATTCCATTTAATGTAAACGAGGAACAGCTTTTAATAGTTCTCTCAGTTGTGTTTTGGTTGAGAAATATTTTAAATGTTCTTGGAATAAAAGGTAAAGGAAACCTACACAGTGATTATAAATTAATAGCAACTTTTATATACATAATTTAACAAACAGATTCAAACAATTATTACATTAGTCATTCAGATTCTGAACATCACTATAAACAGCAAGTTTATAGCAGGCCTAGCTAGAGTTGTATTCTTCATGGAGCTGCGATTAACTTCCCACATTTTTCTTTTTCCAACGAAGCCACCTCAGAGCTCTTGCCAGTGCTACTTGTCCCATGAGGTATGTGATAGTAAAGTTACGTTTATACCAATCTCTAGGATTCCAAAGCCAGGAAAATCATCAGCATGCAGAACAAGAACAGGAACAAGGTAGACAATTATATTAAAATATACTTTGGCATTGACAAATGACAATTCAGTGTTGACCTGCATTTTCCATGGCAACACTTTTCCTGCCCAATGAGAGTTAAATAATCTAGGAAAAGTTCTGTGTGAATATCCATATCCATGAACAGATGACATGTGGACTATAGGGCTACAACCATTGAGCGCTTAACTGTAAAAAAGTTAAGGGGTGGGTAGTTTTATGACCAATTGTATTTGAAATCAGGTAAGCTAAAATAATTGTAACCGTATCTCATGTTTCAGAAGTAAAGCTGATCATCAAGCTACCTAGAAGAATTTTCTGCCAAGTGCTGTGCTATGGATAAGATTTGTCTGTGCATGTATGAAGATGCACATGTTGGAAAGGGCATAGTCACCTATAAGGGGGGGGGAAAAAATAAAACCACACTTCAAAGACTAACTGTATAACCTAACACAGAAAACATTATGTTTCTAATGCAGTACCTTTTAAAGATGATGCCTCCAATACTGCTAAAGTTAGCCTTTGTATCTTTAAATAGTTTTAATAAAGCACGCATGGCTTCTGGAGCTAATTTAAGATATAGATAGGAGAGTCTGTATCAGCCCTTTTTAAACTCCAAGAACTTGCTTCAAATTCTTGCCCCTGTTACAAACTAAAGTAACATCAAAATTTTCTTCTAGATTCTAAGAAGGATCCATCACCCATTTTGTAAAATGCTGCACATGAAGCAACAGAGCATGCTTACTGAAGAACTAGCAGAAAATATTAAAGACAGGGATTTAGGTCTTCTCTTGAGGTATCTGTGGGAAACCCTACATGTACAGATTTAACATAAACCTGGGATACTAACCTCTGAGTAAGGATAGTAGCCAAAATTATGCTGACAAGCAGCACTGAGCTACCCCCTCAAATACCATGTTTTGATTTAACATGACAACATTACAACTGTTTCTTTTCCCCTTTCATGTCTCATTTCCTATATTCTTCTCAATTTTTTTACCCAGACTAGACTGTATTTCCAGTCTTAAGTACCCTGAACTAAATATTCATGGCATCCATGCACAGTCATTGCTTCAATTTTAACTACAGTTTAGAAGTTGCAACACTTCAGCAGCCACAGTTTTCAGGCCAGCTGGCAACACTGCAAAGAACATACCACTGAATGCATAAACAGATTTTTATAAATATGACCCCTCAAAATCACGGTGCCTTTAAAAAGCTCCACTGCTTTCAGGGCTGTGAAGTTCCACTTTGAAACTTCAATGATGGAGCTGATACCACCTGATTTTACAAGGCAGAAACAAAGAAGGTCACGTTTAGGCCCAAAGCCTGAACTCTCTTGCCGTGCAGACAGCACACTATCCCAATGTCACTACAACAATGGCATCTGGTGACCAGTTACAACATAAACTATTTGCTTTCTCACTCTTCAGTTATAGGCAATTTGAACAACAAACCTCTTATTAACAATAGTATTTTACTTTCCATTTTTTCATGCTGTCATTAAGGTTTATGGTGAGGTCTCCCCCTCTGACCCCTCCCCCCATGGAAAAAAATGCACATATTTGTTTTAAATACTTGTTACAGTAAAATTGTTCTTATAGTACATTACGGTATGTGCACAATATGTACAAAGAACCCTAAACCACAACTTGTTATAGATCAGTTAAAGTGATGGTAGACTTCTCGCTAGTATTACACCATCAGGAAACCAGTAATACTTGACACCTTGGGGCCTAATAATCTTTCAATCCAATACAGAGAAGAAACTGAAGTTGTGGCTTCATATTCAGTGGGCAGTGCTACTGTAAATTGATTAAGCACTCTCCTTCTCCAGCTTCCCATTCCTTCCTCACTTCCAGCCCTCTACCAAGCGTACAGAGCTACGTGCAGTCATGCGTGTGTACGAGTCATTTTTCAGTTGTTTCAGATGCCCAATCCAGTTTATCAAGTTGTTGTACAAACAGTAACACTGAAACAATGCAGTAGATGTTCTGAAGAGGCAGTGTGGATGTGGGCTTACCCAGTTGCAGCTGAGGTTCTACACAGGATGAGTTCAGGTGATCACTTTACTAATGCTTTGCCACACAAAACCCCCTCAGACTCAAGGCTAATCACTGTCATCATTTGTACTATGTGCTTGTGAATAATAAAAACAAGAATAGTAAATACTCTCATGAAACAATTTTCCTTTGAGATGAACTGCATTTACTAGTCCTTATTTAACAGTCAACTAGAATCTGCTATATAGAAATTTCAACTGTTTTATTTGCCTATTTATCAGTTTCAATTAGCAGCATGAAAACACCCATGCCATAAGAGAAAAAAAACTGAGTGCCTGATCTTGTCTCTCTGAATCTCAGCCATGAGATTCATCTCTCCACTAAATCAACAATAAGCAGTAGAACTCAAATGATAATGAAAATTTCTGTCAAATGCTAATAATAGTATTTTAAAAAATCATTTTCTAAAATGATAGTTTTAGGTGCTGTTTTACCAATCATGGGAAAAAAGTGTTCACATTTTCTATTTGATCTTATACATTACAGTTAAGTGAAAGGCATAATAGGCAACATAAATACCTTCTACATACCTGTTATACTGCATATGCTTTCTAAAATTTTTACTTAGAAAGTCCTTGTAAAAGTCAGCCATTTCTTCTGCATTCAGTGTTGCTTTTTGACCTGAAAATAAGTTTTGGCATAACAATGTCAAGATAATTCTTTGGATTGAAACACTGGGTTCAGTTGCAAGAGAGCTAGGTCTGACTCCTTGCTCCTACAATCCTCCTGTATAACCCTGAACAAGTTAATATGCTTTTATCTTCCAACTTTTTGAAAACTACCTAGGGAGCACAGCAGATTAAAAATACTGATCATCTGTTATAACTCTTAAACCCTTATTACTTATGAAAGTGATTATGTTTATCAGATCTTAGATTATTTAGGGAACAAGTGAACCCCTATGGAAAAGTCCATAGATCTAGGAGTACCTAATCCTTTGAGTAAAATTAATCTCTGTGGGGCTGAAATCTAAACAGCACCAGTAAGAGCACTTAGTAACCTAAGTTTCCCCCCCTGAAGCAAGGCAATAAATACAGAAAGAACACTGTCCACGACTGACATATTTGCAGGTGTACATTGTTTTCTGTTGTTGATAAATTTTAAGTAACTTATACCAAACTGTATGTTCTGAGATGTCAGATTTATTAACAATATAGTAGACAATTACTTTGTGAAGAAGCAAGTAAAAAGAGGACTCAATATGCCACTGTCATAAGCAGAACGTAAGAGGAGATGGATTCTTTCCACAGAACATGAAAGGAAAAAGTGTGGCTACAGCACAGATGTCAAATCCTGAGAATGAACAAATATTCTCAACTCTACCAGATAATTCCTGTACAAACTTTCTGGCACTTCCAATGTTTCTAACATGAGAGTCCAATTTGAATGTCCCAGGGGACATGGATATTGTGAAGGAGACAGAATTGTGATATTCAACTTGCTACTGTTCCGAAATGCACTTCAAAGCTCCTGAGACTGATCACAGAAATGTAAATTATTGATCAGTTCTATTTGTCATTATTTAAAAATCTAATGTATTACAACAGATTAATATGCTATGGGATAAATTTACTCTATGACTTTTTGAAGGTTGCCTACTTAACACCTATAGTTAATTTGTTTCTTCATACTGTTGCCAGTAGAACTGATAGTAGATTCACTTACATAAAAATGTACGTTTTGTTCCAACTGTTAGCGTATGTTATTAGTCTGATTTTTATAAATGCATGCAACTGTATTCTAGAACAGAGTTAATCAACACATGCAGACAATGTAATTTTATTTCTAAGGGATGTACTTTATTTCTAGAGTATAAAAGCAAAACAAAAAACCAAACCCAAAATGTCAATATAAAAGCAGCATTTTCTAAACACAAAACTTAATTATTTCTCAACCACACACTGGTCACTGGGATACAAACAGAAGAGAAAAATAATGGTCTCGATAAAGAGGACATCAGAGCAGATGCTTTACTAAACTCAAACTGATAATTATTCTATGAACAAAATGTTCAACCTCATGCTACAATGTCCAAATTCACTGTTATTATGAAGGCATCTTGTCTTCAGTTTCACATAACGAATGAGAGGCAACTATTTTACAGCAACTGTGCTCAGGCAAAGACAGTCAGATAGCAGCTGCTGTCTCCTCAGAAGTTGCCTTATTGTCCCTCAAGGAAAAATATTGTATTCACCGTATACACTATGGACCCGAAGTCAGAGAGTGTGAATTCGTCCGCCCAACTGTAAGATGCACTTGAGGCACATGCTCTGTATGTTCAGCTCAGCCAGCTCACTGTGTTAGGAGGTGTGAAAGGAAAAAGCCCTTCCTCCTCAGACTACAGAATGATTACATTACTTGGGGAGGATTTCAGCACATTCCCTCCAGCTGTGCAGAAGGAATTAGGGGAAGAACAGTGCAACAGATGATCAGACCCCTATATGCACATCTCTGAGGAGCTCCTCCTCTCTTTTTTTTATCTTTCTCCTAAAAGTACTTCTAAATCCTACCCTCAAGATTTACTTGTGACAGGACACAAAGAGCATAAACTAACAAAATTCAAAGTTAAACGGAATTCAGAATTCATCCTAAACTATAAATAAAGATCTCACTAACCTGTTTCATCTCTCATTTTCAGACCCTTGGCTTTCAGTCTTGAATAAATAAATTCTTCTTTCTCCTAAAACATGTTTTTCCACGTTAGAATCTGATGTACTCAGTCCTTGAAGTTAACCACTGTTTTTAATCACATAGGAGTGCTTAATGCCCTCTGAAATAACAAGCAATACTCATTATACTTGGAAATGTCAACAAAATATTTTCCTGAATCCAGTGAGTTAGTTAAACCAGTAATTTCATCACTTAGATCCTGCTATGTGCAGGCATCAATTAATTCATGCAAGTGTCCTCCTACTGAAACATATATAACTTATCTGTGGAGTAAAGTTGCAGCTGAGCTTCAGTACTGACAGGATCTGAATGAATCTTCAGTTTATAAGACAAACTATGAAGATTTGATGTACTGTATACAGAACTTGAGCACAGAGAAAAACATAGCCTAAAAAAAATGAAATTACTTAGATCGAAACAGAATAATTATTTGTACATACATTTTTCAGTTAAAAAGCAGTTCTATGGAATTAAAAACAAGCTTTGTTTTTCTCTGAGATCTTTGCAAGTTTTGTGAGGATATGATGATCAAAGATCATCACAAATTATAGTGAATTACTGAACCTTTACTGTTCTTCCAACAAAATTCAGTGTCTCCTAAGCAATGACACAATCAGGAAAGAAAACATACCATGACTGAGAAGTCCCCACTTGTAGACTTACTGGGGTACACTGTCAGTGAAACAGTCCCTTGTTTACCCCTGGTGATTATACCTATTCCTCCTACTTATGACAAAGCAAGAAGAGCCACGGGATCATTTTCAACAGCTGCTCTAGTCACAGATAGGTCTCTCATGTAGGGTGGCTAGAACTTTATATTTTCAGTGCCAGATAGGAAAGAGGCAAATATGCCACAAAACAGCAATAAAATATGCAAGTTCTTTAGTTTTGTACTTAATTTTAAAGAAATTAATGACAAAAAACGTAATTTCCACAAAGACACCGTGCATATTAAAAGAAATGGTATCAATTACCAGACAGTACTGACGGGTAGAACTGCACCCTTCCTCATGGAGACCAAACCCCTTCCCCGATTTCGAGTAGGCGGGCAGGATCCGAGCGGCACCGGCCGTCGGGGCTCACCTGGCGGAAGGCGCGGTTGTGCCGCGCCCAGAAGCGCTGGTCGCAGGCCTGGGCCTCCTGCCGCGCCTCCCGCAGCCGCCGCTCCAGCGGGGACTCCTCGGGGGACACGTAGAAGATGACCGGCCGCAGATTGGAATGCTTGTCAGGGGGGCCGATCCAGTCGTTATGGGAGTGTGCGGGGGGGCTGAAACCCAGGCCCTTGAAAATACAGGCAGAATTCATTATCACCACTTGAGAACAGTTTTTGAAAAGCACCCCGATTTGAAATAAATTCCAAAACTCCACACGACCTTAAAACATAAGAGAGCATAACAAGTACAGAAATTACGCGCACTCATTTACCCTGATGGAAAATTATGCGACACATTTAACATTTACTTTCATTTAGAAACTAAAGAGTAAAATAGCTTCGACTCTTTTCTAACAGACACTAATCTCGGTTGTGCTTTTTTTAAAAAACACCTTTTTTTTAAATTTTCATATCACTGATATTCCACTTCATTAAAATATCTGACGACAAGAACTAGCAAGTATGTAAGTCTTCTTAAGCGTTGCTTTCTTCGTGCATCCTTGTGAACATGCACAAGCGCGCAGCTTTTCAGGCCGGGTTTAGGGAGAACTGACTCTAAGAGCCCATAACATACTGCCCCGCTTGGAAGAGCGTTTGGCTTGCCCGGTGCCTCGGCGCGCCACCCACACGGCGCGGGAGGGCCCGCAGGGTATTTACCAACACCGGGGGCGCTGGAAAATAAGTAAGTAACGAGAGCCCGCAGGAAACGCAGACTTTTATCGGGCGGCGCCCGCCCAGCGGCGCTGTGAGGTACCGCGGGGGCAGCCCGGC